GAAGAATATATGGTTTATCATATTTACCTGATTATCATTGTGTAAATATTGTAAAATGGATAGCGATAAGTGTGCAAATATCGTTACTGCACCAGTAAAATCACTCATATGGCGTGAAAGAAGTCTTCTATCCACATCTTCTTATATAGCTTTTATATATGCTGCGTGTGTGTGTGTGTATATATATATATATATGTGTGTGTGTGTGTGTGTATATATATATATATATGTGTGTGTGTGTGTGTATATATATATATATATATATATATATATATATATATATATATATATATATATATACATATATATATATATAATTTGTATGTGTGATTTTGCGCACGCCTGCCCCCCTATAGCAGTATTTCTGCTATAGGGTGGAGGGGAAGCGGGTAATTAAATCAGATAATCAAGTTTTGTAAACAATGGTCTTTTTTTTTTCCCCCAGTGAATTGTCTGAAATAACTTTTTCCTGCTCATCTTCTTGATGTTTTAAAATTTTTAAATATTGAATATTTTATGTAAAATTACATATTTATGGTTTTACTAAATACTATTTTTATGAATTTTTTTGTAGTCTTAAACAGAACATCAAAAAGTATTTAAAACCAAAATAAACTAGCGTTGAAGTGGACCTTTTAGTACCCTTACTGTTTTGCCTGAATCAGTTTCTGACATGCATACAGTAAAAATGTATATATTTTTTAAAAAAGCTCCATCTTTCAGTACTAGAGATCATCTCAATAACTTTGCCTAGGCAGATATGATGTGATCAGTTGACTTACAGGGAGGAGGAAGCATTTCCTAAGTCTCTTCTCCCCCATTGATCAGACTGCAACATTGTAACTTCGTAGTCGGCAGATGAAAGGCTGCAGCAGAGGCTGATCTGTGCCTGATATTTGTGAGCACAGCCAAAAGCTGCACAGGTACCAGGATGTATATGATTGTATCATCTCTGAGTTTGCATCTTAATCCAGAAAGTAGGCACTGACCTTGGATGATGCCGGAACAAAGTGTCATCCTTTTTGCAGCGAAAAGCAGATGAAGGCAATGTTGAGGGTAGTACTGTGATCTGAGTGTTTTACATGTATTACTTTGACATGAAAAAAGATATTTGATGTTTGTTACATTCTGGTTTTGTGTCTGTCCCCTTCCAATATGAAACGCCATTTCGTCATATCTGGATTGCTTTTATTATTTGCAACCATAATGGATCATCTGTGGCAGCAGAGCAATGCTATAATTTGCATTTGTAATTCCTATGGCAGTGCCCACATGAAAGAAAAATATATTTGAAATATATTTTAAAAATATTCTTCTTAAATATATTGACTTACAGGTGAAACTCAAAAAATTAGAATATCGTGCAAAAGTTCATTTATTTCAGTAATGCAACTTAAAAGGTAAAAACTAATATATGAGAGACTCATTACATGCAAAGCAAGATAGTTCAAGCAGTGATTTGTCATAATTGTGATGATTATGGCTTACAGCTCATGAAAACCCCAAATCCACAATCTCAGAAAATTAGAATATTGTGAAAAGGTGCAATATTCTCGGCTCAAAGTGTCCCAATCTAATCAGCTAATTAAGCCATAACATCTGCAAATGGTTCCTGAGCCTTTAAATGGTCTTTCAGTCTGGTTCAGTAGGAATCACAATCATGGGAAAGACTGCTGACCTGACAGTTGTGCAGAAAACCATCACTTACACCCTCCATAAGGAGGGAAAGCCTCAAAAGGTAAGTGCACAAGAATTTGGATGTTCCCAAAGTGCTGTATCAAAGCACATTAATAGAAAGTTATGTAGAAGGGAAAAGTGTGGAAGAAAAAGGTGCACAAGCAGCAGGCATGACTGCAGCCTGGAGAGGATTGTCAGGAAAAGGCCATTCAAAAGTGTTGGGGACTTTCACAAGAAGTGGACTGTGGCTGGAGTCAGTGCATCAAGAGCCACCACACACAGGCGGATCCTGGACATGGGCTTCAAATGTTGTATTCCTCTTGTCAAGCCGCTCCTGAACAACAAACGACATCAGAAGCGTCTTACCTGGGCTAAAGAAAAACAGACCTGGTCTGTTGCTCAGTGGTCCAAACTCCTCTTTTCTGATGAGAGCAACTTTTGCATCTCATTTGGAAACCAAGGACCCAGAGTATGGAGGAAGAATGGAGAGGCACACACTGCAAGATGCTTGAAGTCCAGTGTGAAGTTTCCACAGTCTGTGTTGATTTGGGGAGCCATGTCATCTGCTGCTGTTAGTCTACTGTGCTTCATTAAGTCCAGAGTCAACGCAGCCATCTACCAGGAGATTTTGGAGCACTTCATGCTTCCTTCCGCAGATGAGCTTTATGGGGATGCTGACTTCATTTTCCAGCAGAACTTGGCACCTGCCCACACTGCCAAAAGCACCAAAACCTGGTTCAATGACCGTGGGATTACTGTGCTTGATTGACCAGCAAATACGCCTGACCTGAACCCCATAGAGAATCTATGGGGCATTGCCAAGAGAAAGATGAGAGACATGAGACCGAACAATGCAGAAGAGCTGAAGGCCGCTATTGAAGCATCCTGGTCTTCCATAACACCTCAGCAGTGCCACAGGCTGATAGCTTCCATGCCACGCCACATTGAGGCAGTAATTGCTGCAAAAGGGGCCCAAACCAAGTACTGAGTACATATGCATGCTTATACTTTTCAGAGGTCCGATATTGTTCTATGTACAATCCTTGTTTTATTGATTCCATGTAATATTCAAATTTTCTGAGATTGTGGATTTGGGGTTTTCCTGAGCTGTAAGCCATAATCATCACAATTATGACAAATCACGGCTTGAACAATCTTGCTTTGCATGTAATGAGTCTATCTCATATATTAGTTTCACCTTTTAAGTTGCATTACTGAAATAAATGAACTTTTCCACGATATTCTAATTTTCCAGTTTCATCTGTATGTACCACAGTTTGTAGGCGCTATAACTTTCACGCAAACCAATCAACATACACTTTTTTTTTTTTTTTTTACAAACTTTTTTTTATTACGGAATAGACAGCAATAACTGCATAAAGTATAGTTTACTACATAAAAAGGCACATATGTAATAACCATTCCAATAAAGTACAATCATGTAAGACATAAAAATTAAGTACATGAACAAGGCAGGAAGGTAGGTAAAGCTATAAGGCTACCAGTGGAATTTTGTTTATCAAAGACATGTAGCAGAATACATTTTGGCTAAGATTTATGAAGAATTTTGATTTTTGAAAAAAAAATTTTTGGATACTTTTTGTAGCAGAAAGTAAAAAATATTTTTTTTTTTTTCAATAATGTTCAGCCCTTTTTGTTTATGTTGCAAAAAAAATATTAAAAACCCAGTGGTTATCAAATACCAAATCAAAAGAAAAATGTATTTGTGTGAAAAAAATTATATAAATTTTGTTTGGGGTACAGCATTGCATGACTGTGCACTTACCTGTTAAAGCCTGTTCACGAAGGAGGTAAAATCTTCCAGAGCTGAAGTGGAAACCGAAGGAATAAAAGGGCCTGCTCATGGAGCTTATAATCTAAAGGTTGCTGAACTTTCTATAATTTTATGTTGTGAAATATAGTGTAATTGATTTTTCTTTGGTTTTGTTTTTTTTGTATTTCAATGTTTTTATTAATTTATAAACTGTTGAAGACAGGAGCAACAAAACACGCCCATGCAGGGGCTATCAATTGCACAGAAAAAAATTAAAAAACAGTGCTCTAACACCAACAGAGCAAAATATGTGCCCAAGCAGGGGCTGTAATTAATTGTTTTTAAGGCCCCCTTTGCACACAGGGCCATCCAGCTGCAATGTGTTCTTCCCAGAGTTTTAGGGACCTGGGCAGTGTCCAGCCCCGTTTGTAGGCTGTATTGGGTGATACCGGCCTTTAGGGCCCTTGTGCATTCAGGGACGAAGGTCTGCAACACAGAAGGACCTGCATTTTGATCTTCTTCCCTGACTGCACAAGGGCCCTAAAGGCCATTTGGTACACCAGCAGCCCTGTCCAGCTTCAGTAGAGCCAGACCCCGCACCTGTCCCTCCCTGGAGCAAGGTGGGATAGACTGCAGCCACAGGGGCCCATCTGCAAGGGGGCCTGATGGTTTTGATGGGGTCACAGGATTAATTGTAGTAAAAGGATATGTCATTTTCAGTTTCTAAAATCTTAAATTTTTTGTCACCAACACATTCCTCCCACATGTGCCTTCTGTCTCTGAGGTTAGGACTGGCCTGCTTTTCCTAGTGAAGATGAAGAATTTTGAGGTCACCTTTCTCGGTCAAGTGGCCTATAGCTGTTTAAGTGGCCTTCAAGGGCTGGATTTGAGGAGAGGGGGCTGCTTCGGTGTCACATTTTATCCAGATGGGATTATAAAATGACACTTGTATAACCACATAATACAGGCAAACAACACGCCAGGTCAATAGCAGAGTCCTGAAACTTGTATGTTTATATTGTAGCGTTACTTCATATCCAGGAAAGAAAAACCAGCAGCGAGTGTTTAGCATCAAGGTATTAAGGGCTGTACAGAAGGCACTTTAACTGAAGCATGCACCTCAGATATATGGATAAGGGCCAAATTTCTGCAAGGTTACGTTATTTGTTGGACATTTTTCATAGGCATGATTCTTTTCAGAATGACATGTCAGGGGGTTTTAAAGGCCTTCCCTCCAGTGACAGACAAATCCAAGGCACCAGATAACCATTGTGACTAAAAATGTACAGTGAGTATGTTTAAGTCCTAGCTAAGACCCACCTTTAATTTTTCTTTTTTTGTTTATCATCAAAGTGTTACTAAACCCACAACAGTAAAATCAGTCTGTATATGTAGTAAAGCATGCTTGTTATAAACACTGTGGAACCTAAGGGGTTAATCCTGTACATTGTGTAAGAGGGCTGTTTTGATCCTGTGTTCTGTGATCCTCCCCTTCTACTATCCCCAGTCCATCTTCTTATAGTACAGAGCTCTAGGAGTCGCTCTGCACATGGTCAGTTTAATGTGTATTGCTAGAGAATTTTTTTCTTTTTTTGGGAGAATGCATGTGATCAGCACAGGGCCAATCAGCACTGTCCAGACAGAGGGTCAGGGGTTATGCAGCCTCCTAGGACCTTCAGGGGAAAATTAAAACTCCTCCTACAAGCTTTAACCAGTGCTCAGACACTGATAGAAGTCACAAGACTGCGCTAACTGCTGATGAGAAAAGGTATTTAGCAGTTTATAGTTACTAAAATAATTGCATTTTCATATTCTGTGTACTGTGGAAGACCGGATATAGTGAATGCAGGGTCCTGGGTTTAGTAACACTTTAAGTTTTTTTACTGTTCTGTCCCCCATGGGACAAAGTACATGGTAGTACTTTGTCCTGTGTTGCTAGGTGCTTCCTAAGCCTACATATGAGGTCAGATTTGAGGTTTGCCTTTCCCCTCTTTTTCCATCCTTCAACATAGCTAGGAAGGAGACGGCTGCTTAATAACAGCCACTTGTCTTGGCACTTTCCTGAGACAAGAGGCAGCAAGAGGAATGCAGAAGAGGCTCCATGTACACGGGACACTTCTGAATGATGGAAACTGTTGGAAAATGTAGGTTAAAAAAAAGTCTGTTTAGCCACATTTTCATACTGCATTTATGCGTGTTTGCGTTTAGAAGAAGTTTTTAAAGATGAGCTAAGAAGACCTTCCAAAATGCCCAGAATTCACCGAAAAACAGTAAAAAATAACTATTTCAGACATTTTTTTTTGTGGTGTTTGGATGTGTTCCAGCTTTTTTCTGGGCAGAAATTATTGCAGCAGTGTCTAACATATTTTCTTTCATGCGAAACCTCAAAGTATGGTGTACCAGGTCCATTTGAGTACCGGGAAAATTCTGTGCATGCATTTTTTATGATGAAAAAAGGCTCTGGACAGCATCTGGAAATGAAAGGGTTAAAAAAAAATTGCAAACGCTTATAAACGCGGTTAGGCGCGTTTACACGTGTTTGATGTTTGAAACGCTGATAAAATCTACTCCTGAATGCAAGTTTGGTGCGTTAAAAAAACCGACTGTAAACTCAACTGCCTGTAAATGACAGTGTACATGGACACATAGGAAAACATTAGGGAGAGTTCAGGGGCTGCTGAAAAAAAACTCAGAAAAGCTCCTAAATGTGAGTTTATCAGCTGTTCATGGAGCCTTAGTCTTCAATCCTTCATTCCTCTTGTCTCAGGAAAGTGCTTAGAGCCAAGACAAGCAACCGTATCCATCCTTTCTATGTTGTCAGACGGCTGCGAGGGGGGGGCACCCAGTCCGACCTATAGCTAGGCTTAGGATGCACCTTGTGACATGAGACAAATTACTACATGCACTTTGCTCCATAGAGGACTGAACACTAAAAAAAATAATTGTAATGTTATTTCTTCTTTAAATCCCTCACACTCAAGTGTAAATGGGTACTAATTTGATTCAGGAGCTTTTATACAAGTTACATGCATCTGCTGGCACTCCCATTGAAGTCAATAGAGGCCAAAAAGGTGCAACTCTGCCCTAAAGAAGCTTGAAGAGACACACCATGAAATATAATGGGACTCTTGATGCTTAGAGTTTTGAAGTGCTTCATGAATGGGCTTCAAATTGCATCATCAATTTACCAGGTTTTTTTTTTCTAGTTTTTTTTATATATTTTCTATGCCTCCTGTTCTTGTGACACCATACAGGAAATTGAGGGTGCAGTTGTTACCAGGAGAGCAGGCACAGACAAAAATAAAAACATGGGAGTTAACTTCTCCACTCTACTAAATAGGATTTCTTGTTTTAGTCCACATCTCCGTAGGGAGATTTCCCACTTTCTTGATAGGAAGTAGGAAGAGTTCTTCCCAGTAGGGGACAGCAATATACCTAACAGAGGCTGCAACCCTTCCCCTTAAAAGTTGTGGCTGGAGTTGGGCTTTAAGCCATTTTATTTGTTTTGCATTGGTCTTCTTCTGAGCTCAGAAAAAGAGTGTCCGCCCTTGAAGTATGTCATATGCTGGAAACATGATTACATGATTACGTACTGACAGATAACGGAAGCTCCCACCTACAGATATGGGAGTCACCTTCTATCTCTGGATGATTCTAATGTAGCAAGAATTTCTATAAAGATTGCTTGTGAGTATCTGTCACTTTTATTTAACCCTTTTACCCGGTGGGACCAGAGGGGCTCCTAATAATGTGACACACTGATTGGCTTCACAGTGCTGACCTTATAGGGAGCCTGTCCTACTGCCTCCCAATCAAGAAACTCAATGCAGAGAACAATAGACTAGCTTCCCCTTAGCCTTAATTCTAATTGTCAGCCCAATTAGTTTAACTATTTTCAATTATTTTGAGTTGTCAGCTTAATTGCGTTTTTTTAAACCTATCTATAAGATTGGTCACGGTCTCTGCCCCTAGCTTGACAAGGGAGCGCGCTTCTGCCCTTAGAGGTCTAGCGCATGCTCCGAAACGCGTCGCTATGCAAGCTGATCCACATACGTCATCACGCCGACGTCGTGCCTCAAAGTGCGTTCCAGACGCCATCTTCAGAAGACAGCAGATGACGCCTGGCTCTCTCTGTACATCTACGGTCTTCATAGTGCAGACACGGCTGACACAGCATTGATACAGCCGTCCTCCCACCCAGTTGACCTTGATTTCAATATACATAATGTGAGTTCTACATTGGATACTTATTAAAGTTGTTTATACTGCACTTAGAGGCGCTTCTTTTCTCTTTATACTGCCTCCCAATCACCTGTATCATGGGTGACCGCTCAGGCACAACTCTAGGGGTGCCAATGGAGCATGTCCCAGAACAAGACAGCAACACATATATACATTTGGGCGTTAGAGGATCAATCCACTCAATAACCCCGTCAGTGATGTAAAGGGGGGAAATAAGTCACAAGGATATATTGAACCATTTTTCACCACGCATGCACAAAATGCAGCTCGTGACGTCATGCATTTTATCTCATTCATGTGCCATACAACACTAAATGCATTTGCTGAAAAAGTTACTTTAATCATTCACAGATATTATCTAAAGCAAGTATGAGAGATGGAGTCAATGTTTCTCATCATACACACATGATACTTGTTAGACTTGTCTAGCAGAGACTACATTTTTCCAGGATTTTTTTTGCACATTTTGTTTCCCGAGAAGCAAGCTTTTATTTTTTTTACATATTCATAATGTCTCAACCTGACAGGCACTGTTCAGAAATCACATTTTAATCTGTAATTTTCTTTGCCAACAGATTTTGTTTCCTCATACAGGAACATTCCCTTAAATTTTCCAAAATTCAAATAATTCCTGTATCTCATGCCAATCCGATATTAACAGTCATACAGTGCCTGTGTCAAACATTTGTAATACTATTTTTTTATTTTAGTAAAAAGATATTACCCAGCTGTTCAATCATGACTGTAGTTATTTAAAGAGGAGTTCTGCCCCCGCTCCCCCAAAATAAAACGTCAGCAGCTACAAGTACTGTAGCTGCTGACTTTTAATATTCGGGCACTTACCTGTCCAGGTATCCAGCAGTGTCCTCACCCAAGCCAATTCTAAAATCTGCTATCGGATGCTGATGCCGCCTTCTTGACTAAGGGAAACCGGCAGTGAAGCCTTGCGGCTTCATAGACGGTTTTTCTACTGCGCATGCGTAAAGCATGCTGTGCTTTGTGAATGGATCGCAGTCTTCTGGGACCTGTGAAGTGTCCCACAAGGCTGCGGGGGTAGGAGGAGGATGCCAAATTTCCCGGTCAGGCTGTCGCGGTGAACTGAGCCTGAAATGTCAAAACCAGGTACCCGCTCCCCCCCAAAAGGTGCCAAATGGGGCAGTGTGGGGGGGCAGACAAGTGGAGCTTCCCCTTTTGGATGGAACTCTGCTTTAAATATAAAATGTCAACCAATAATTGGGAACTTGAACAATATGCTGTCGCACATGTGTCTGCGATGACATAAGGTTTGTTTGCTGAGAGCACATTCACCACAAACTTCCAACAGGCTCACTGAGGTGTCACCAAAAGCTCTTGGGTCAAGGATTCTAATCAGGAGCCAGTGAGATGGGCTCCCAACAATGTGACCACTGTGAAAGCCAATCTTAGCAGCTACAAGACACAGACGCCACGTTTCCCCCAGACGTTAAAGCCCACTTGAAGGGATGCTGGAAGGCAGTGTTAGGGGGTTAGAAAAATAGCAAATACCAAAGTGTATTGGAGAAGGGTATTATTATTGGATGACACTGTACTTTAGTAGTGTATTCTTATGGCTTCATTCACACCTTGGTGCCCTGGGAACACATAAATGTGCATTACTGCGAGTGTTCCAAGAATCACATGAAAAACACACCAAAATGTGCATTACGATTGCAGTGCCTTTAATTCTTAATGGCATGCCAAACACTGGTAACATCTGCGCAACAAAACACACTGGGCTCACTGCAAGAAACGTTGGCACGCTTGTCACTCATAGGGCAGTCCAATCAAGTGAACGGGCTGCCCTATGCTGTTGCATAACAAATGCAAAAAAGTGTGGGGGAAAAAACGTGAATGGAGCCTTACTTTGTTTTGGAATTCTGTTAAAATTACCATTTCCTTTTGTGACGGAGAGTAGGCAGGACAGAACACACAAGGTGGATTGCAAACACACAAAGCTTTATTAAGACAAATGACAGTCACTCAATGGGGAAATTGCAGGGAGTGGGGCAGTGCACAGTATGGGAAATAGCAAGGAGAGGGCCCAAAATACTTGTAGTTCAGCCCCAGGGGCAAAGTTAAAGTCTCTACAACAGTTTGTAATCCAAACGGGGAGGTGGAGAGGGAGTACAAGAGCAGTTCAGGGAAAACAGGGGAGTATACACTCACGGATCCAACAGGGGCACCCGGATCCACAGGGGAGCAAGATAGTATGACAACAAGTACTTGCCCTGAATCCGGAGTATGCATGGCGTAGTCCGTGGCAATATTCCCCCCAAGTCCTGGGCGCCTGCAGAGGGCAGCTGGTGTGGTTCTCCCCCTATCCTTGGGGCTTGCAGTGGGCAGCTTGCGTGGTTCTCCCCCTTAGCTTTGGGGTTGTGCAGAGTGG